AAACGGGCAAAAAGAACGAGGTTGTTCCATTGATTGTTACGAAGTGCTTTTGCAAGTCACGTTGCAAGACACACACGCGAACTACACGTTTTTCTTGCTCGATACAATTTACTTTTAGATTGCCCAACGAAATTGGAAAATAATGACTTGACTTCTCAGTTTTCTGGCCCCGGATACTTATAATTTTTCTGCACAAATCCATTTTCCTAGAACTCCGCCTTTCGACTTCTGGAATTGTTATGAAATTGTACGGGGAAATTGCAACTTATCGAATTTCACTTATTGAGAGCAGTTGGGAGGATTCAAAGCAGAAATGAGGCTCATAAGTTTCGTTTTAATTAAATTGCTCCAGCTGCACTCAGACCACTTAACTTGGCGGTTGCGAATATCAACAAAATCCATTTGGCATAATGAAGTTTGGAAAATTATAGTCGGTTCTTTTTATACATTGAAAGTTTTAACTAGCACGATAATCGGGGCTTAATGAGCGTTGTGCTGGTAACGTCCATAGAAATATTGATTAGATTTAGTTAAATAGCAAGCTTTTGCCTAGTTTTATAACTGTTCAAATATGGAATATTTTATCATGTTGACCGCACTATTTGGTACGTTATTTGGTTTGAAATTTGGTACGTTATTTGGTACATTTAGACTTAAATTGCCCAAAACGAGAAGAATTCATTTGGGACCCGCGAAGAAAGAGCCGTAAATCCGTCGATAAAGGTTGACGGATCACGGCACAGTAGTCTAACTTATTTTGAAAAACATGCGATGAATAAAATAGAGGTGAAAGTGCGATGCATGGAGAGGCCATAAGAACCGTTCTTTGTGTTTTTGGTCCTTCGAGCAGAAAAATATGTTTCTCAAGTTGAACAGTTAAAAATGCTGCTAATATCTGGGTCCCCAGAATCGTCACTTAAATTGTCGCAATGAAGCGCCGTTTATGTTCCTGATAATTTCATTCAGCATTTTTTATTGACTTGCCACGTTGTGAAAAATTCGTTGACCTAAACATGTGTTTGAAATCGTGGCAATAAGAAGAAATGTGTGGGGTAAAAACCTTATACAGGGTGTATACGGCAAACTATAATCAGGAGAAACTTGAAAATTGTAGAGTACACGGGAGGCAAGTGATCTAAAATGTGGTGATCTAAAACTTGGATCACTTGCCCCCAATGAAGGCAGCTGTGTTTCTCGTTGGCAGACCCTGTATAATATTAGCCAAAGAGATGAAATTTATTTGTACTTAGCATGCATTAATTTGCTCAAAGTCGGCCTGTTTCAGTGATTGATCGACGAATTTATACATTTTTGGCAAACTGAACTTTGAAGCTACTTGCATTAAGAATAGTATAAAAATGCGCAAAAATAGCTACTTAGACCGATTCTCATCGACCGATTATTTTCAATGAATTATTATCTGTTTTACTATTTACGGTTATTTTGACTGCTGATGCTCCAAACAGCCAATAGGAACTTGGATTCCCATTCATTTTGGGTACGAATCTTTACAATTTTATGAGTCAACACCCCATTTTTTGGAAAAACATTTCACAAAAATCGAGACCTTGACCATGTTGGAAAAAGTTTCAAACAACCTTCAATTAAAGAAAACAGTTCTACTGTGTTTTAAGGCACATAAGGCGCACAAATCGGACGCTCTAAAGAAAACCTCAATTTCTGAAAATAGCTATCACCCAAATTGCTACGAAAAATCTAAAAAACTGACTGTATTTTTTGCAGGTTCGACTGCCAGTATGCCAATCAACCCCCTGATAATGGGCCTTTTAGGAACAGCAGCAATTTTGGCAACCGGAGTATGTCTAGTGTTGGTAGCACTATGTAGAAAACACTACGCCAGGCCATGCCACAGGTAAATCCACCTTTTTAAAAAACTTTGAAATACCAAAGGTATTCAATTCCATGCCAGCTATTTAAAAATTGAGAAATGTTCTTCCACTTCGGCAATTCCATTCTCTCCAGAAAACACAAATTGCTCACTCATTAACAATCCACTAAAGCGCCACTTTCACGGAAAATCACTAAACAATCTTCATAAATTTAAATAGGATAGTGATTTTGCGACAATGGCCGAACAACTGCAACATAAAACTCGGAACGCTGCAATTGCGAATTTATTCATCCAATGTAAGAGCCATAGCAGAAAATGGTTACACCATTCAGAAACAGTTTTATGAAATGCTAAAAGTTGCAATCCGAAACAAACGGAAGTAAGCGGCCCTCGCGTTACCTGCAATAAAGCGAGTATTAAAAAAATCTTGCTATCGCGTTTTCCGTTCTTAAAGCCACTACGATTTTTCATTCTCATTCTGAATATCTTATCAAGCAAAGAAGTTGCAGAAAGGGACTTTGCTTGCCTGTTTAGGGGTTTATTTTCATAACTAAGTTACCCGGTTTAAAGCAGCGCCTGGAATTTTTCAAATGCTAATTTAACAGGCCGGATAGCAACAGTACAAAGCATGTTCCTATGGAAGCCGTTATCAATGCAGATGACCTGATTGTCGATGGTTCCATAACTGGAATGCGAACCTCCAGCGGTTCCATTGAGCACACCATAACAGCTGAAGCGGTTCGGAATGGAAACTCCATAGAAGCCACGGATCCGGATATAATCCGAAATCAGTATGGTAAGTTTTGAAACAAGGCCCAATCAATTGAATGCTGATCGAAGATCCGCTTGTTGCAGAAAGAAGACCGATTCACGGGTTTATGAAAGTATACGAGTACGAACCACCTGGTTGCCGCGAAGAAGACGACCAAGACGATGAGGGCGAAGGATACGCCTTTAAACACGTTGCCAAAGAATTACATGCCCCGAATCAAACAGTAATGAACGATTAAGATGATAGGGAGAATAGTAGTGCTAATCAACATTTTCCAGATATATCGAAGTCTCCAGAGGCCTAACCGGACAAACCCCCACAATCCGACGTTGATTACGGGGTCCCAAACGCTCACCCATAAATATCGGGGGCCCGAAGTGGTCACCACATCCAATCGGATACAGGAGAGTTGCATATAAGATCCTTATAATGTCATTGTTTTTATCATTGTAATATATTAATGTATTTAAAATAAAAATATTAAAAGACTTTATTTCTAAGGTGGTGTTTTTAATCGCATGTCGCTATAACCCTGCTAACAAAAGTCTAACTAGGCAGCGCAATGACCCAAAGAATGTGTAATAGTAACATAATACAAATTGCCTAACTAACTAACTTTAGGGATTGATTTAATTTTGAGGTAAACTGCTACGTTCGTGGCCGCACTATGAATCGGAACTTTGGTTATATTGGAAATTTGTTTTTCGCCTCGATGCCCACGGTATTTACGTGTTTGGCGGTTGAACTATGTTCGTTCTGAGAATCTCAACATTCGAGCATGTTACGATTAGTAGGGCTCAGGGCACATAGGTTCAACAGAATTTATCATAGAAATTTACCTAAATGGAATATCTGCATTTATTTTTACCTGAAAGTTGCTGAATTGTGCCAAACAAGCAAACAAACAAATTTTATTCATACTTACAACAGGGTTTATACATGTCAAAGGTCGCTGTTTAGGCTGGGAAGGACCAGGTGGAAATGTTGTTAAGGTTCCAGTTTTAAGAAAAAATAAAATGTCAACACGAAAACGCTGGAAATTGTGAAATAGGGATGCAGTTTCTTCCCAAAAAAGCGTTTTCAACCCCTGAAAACTTTTTTTTGGGATTTGCGGCGCAACGTGACCTCCCACCGGAAAATGTCTAATGGCAGAGTGGTAGACAATCAAAAGCTATAAAATTTTTGGATTCAATATTTTTTGACATAACTTCAAATTAACAAAATGGTAAAAAACCCGAGCATTTTTATCTAATTTTTTCTCTAGCGCATAAATAATTTAATTTAAGTATACGAAAATTTGTAAACATATAGCTTTTTTGGTGTTGATTAAGCACGATTTTTGGCATTTCGGAAGACGACTAGTTTTCGAGTTATGTACATTTTTCAAAAACAGTATCTTCGACGAACAATTATCTTGATCTTTTTGTTCGGTCGGCTTTTTGTCATTTTGAAAGTTGATTTGAGGTTATCTCAAAAAATTCTAAATATAAAAGGTTTTGGTTTTTTCATTATCTACAGCTTTTGTATTGAACGTTTTCCGCTAGGAGGTCATTTTTCGCCGCAA